TCCGATCCTGCCATTGTTTCTCCCCCGCGGATTTTCGCTCGTCTCCGCCGCGGTCGCCTTCTGTGCTCTTCGTCCGGCTGGCCGCGGCTGGAGCATCGTCAGTAAATTGTCCGCCTTCGTTGGGGGAGACCACAGATCGNGAAGGATTGACTCGGCAGCGGTGGAGGGCAGGTCGCGCGTTCGGAAGGGAAGATGGTGGCACAATCAGTTCCTTATAAAACAGCACTCCTGAGGAGAATCACATTCCACAACACCCCCCCCGGTTCTGCACAGGGGTGACTGCTGTACCAAAACAAAATAAAATACTACAACAGTTGGACATCCAAAATTTCTCTTCTGCTCACGCCATGTAACTTCAAAGTTCGTGTTACGTTCGTGACAACCGTACTCTCTCTTTCATCCCAACATCACACATTTTGCAGAATTCCGAACACAGGAAACGATTCAGACACAAGACAAAAAAAATTCGGAACACAAAACAAGGCCATATTCATTCGTCTTCGGACGGAGGACCAGTGCTGCACGACAGAAAAAAAAAAAAAGTAAGTACGCTGAATAACGCTTCCAACGGGAAAGCAGCCCCTTGTGGAAACCCCTATGATCAGGCGGCTCGCTTGGCAACAGACCTCCACACCTAGCACCGGCTCTTGAGGGCGAACGAGGGCATAAACTGTCCAGATTTAAGAAGAGGTATGTAAATAAGATACCAGGGCACACCAGGGTATGTTTTATATGTCCAGTTGCTCACGGTAGGGTGAAAAAGTTGGACTTTAGCTAGAGCGTACGACCATGCAGCAGCTCCAAAATCAGGGAGCGAGCTTCACACGCGACCCGACCTCTGCGCGAGGTAGTTGTATTGCAGCCTAACTATGCTGCCGCCATATACCTAGGTTATTTTGCCACCTAATGCAAAAGGTTTGAGGCGATTTAGTGCGGCAGGGGATAAGCATGGTGTGTCCAAAATTCAAATTTCAGGAGAGTCCACGCCTTGGGTCCGAACCCAGCCCTCTTCCACGTTGCGCATGTACATCCATCCATTGCGTACACGATTCACACCCAACATACGATGGAAATGCTCGATGCAGTAATTCCAGCTTAGGGTCAGCCAATCACTACGAGTTTCAGTCAAACTGGGCTTCAAGAGGGCAAGTACGATTTCTTCGAGTTCAATTATTACACTCGGTGCTTTGCCAATATACGAGCCGAACATGACTCGGGGAGTTTAGCTGCAGACACTCCAGTCCGTGCATAAAGATTTAAACGCCGCGGCATCACATGGTCAGGTATATAAACTACGTATTTGAACAGGCTTCAGTCCGTTGCGTTCTCAGGTGCATAGGCGCGGGAGGAAAGAGGATCAGATCTCATGCATGGGTTAGAAGAGGCACCGAAGATCCCACCCCACGAATAAGCGTGC